AAGAGGAAGTAAGAGACTTTAGAGCTTTCAGGACCAGAGAGACTTTCGGGAAAGCTGGTCTTCAAGGATTTCTTGAAGAAAGAAAGAAAATCTGGAAGGACAAATTAAAAACCAAAATAGGAGTGACCTTGTGCTGGTTTTTTCCATTTAAATGTACATTTCTGCATTTAGCAGACGCTTTTATCCAAACAAAACTTCCAAAAAGAGGGTTTAACGTTCAACCAGCAACACACTTGGCTTAGCTTGAGTTTAATATGCTAGAAGAGGATTTAACATTAAGGGTTTAACATTAAACTAAAACATAGATTACACAGGTAACCCCACATTGATGCTACATGCTAACAGGAAGTAAGATAATTTAGAGCTTTAAGGACCAGAGAGACTTTCGAGAGATTTGGTCTACAAGGATTTCTTGAAGGTGGAAAGAGAATGTGTGTGTTTATAAAAGAGAAGAGGAGGAAAAACAATGCACATATCACAAGTTATTAGAGCTCTGAACATGCATGGGGACAAGTTAAAAAACAGAAACAGGAGTGACATTGCGCTTGTTTCTTCCATTTAAATGTAAACATTTATGCATTCACCAACTTCTAAAAAGAGGGTTTAATGTTAAACCAGTAACACACTTGGCTTACCTTGAGTTTAATATGCTAGAAGAGGATTTAACATTAAGGGTTTAACATTAAACTACAACATAGATTACACAGGTAACCACACATTGATGCTACATGCTAACAGGAAATAAGAGAATTTAGAGCTCTTGTGAGGTTGTATTCCCTCTCAAGTCGAAATCACGAAATCAAGTTGCTCTTAAAGTTACGGGATTTTAATCACACAACTGGCTTAATAGTGTGCCGTGATGTTGTTAAACATCCAAACAAAAAAGCAAATAAATACATTATTTTCGTGGAACGAAACATCAAGAAAAAACGCGGCTACATGAGTCGTCAAAATCAGTCACATTAAATGTTTACAATCTTACAAAAATAACAATGACAAAAGCAGACGTGTACCTCATTGGCCGCTTTCCCTTCAAAGAAAATTAGAACTCTTCGGTCCTTCAATGGACTTTATTCAAACTTCATTTAATGTTGCTGGTTCTTAAGCAGATGATTCGGGAGGCCTGTTAGCTTAGTCCAGAATCCTACTAATAAAACAGCTAGCATCTCTCAAAGGTAACACAAACTTTTGTTCCCCCCTTAATTAAGACATGTTTCCCCATATCAAACAAAAAATATACAGGAAATATATGCTTTTAATATTAAACGGTTATTACTTCAAATTATGATATTTATGAACTCTATATTTTTAACCCAATATTTATCAATTTGTTATTTATTTATTTATTCTGACTTCGATGGCAGCTACAGAGGTCGTTCCACCAGTGTGGAAGAAAAAATTAAAACCAGAAATATGAGTGACTTTGCGCTTGTTTCTTCCCAGGTTTGTATCCGGAAAGGAGATTAAGAAGAAGAAGTGTCTTTTCGGGCTGCAGGTGCGAGCCCCGCCCCCGCTGACCTCCGATTCCTCGCCGCTCATCACCGACCCGCCGATCGCCATCACCCACCGGAGGAGGTCAGTGGGCCTCTAATCTCTGGGAGGGCTCTGGGGCGGCCATGACAGTTAAGAGCTAACAGAGGGCCGTAAAACCGACCAGAACGAGGGCGGACTCCCCCAGTGCAGAGTCTTAAAGGGGACATATTATGCAAAACCAAGTTTTTAATCATTTGACTCCATTTTTTAGCCTCCCTGTGCAGATCTGCTGTTGTGTTTGGGTCTTTGGGCCTAACTTTGGGGTCCAGAGGACTCCAGGGTGGACTTTAAGGTCCCGATACTGATCCCTGAGGCGGCCCAGCTCATCATCCCTCCCCCGCCGTGCCGCCGGCTGTGTGGTTTCTGGACCCTGTCGCCCAAATAGACAAACCACGGCTGTTCTGCCTTTTGCTCATGACCTTTGACCTTTTCCCTGTAGAGCAGTGGTCCCCAACCTTTTTACCGGTCGACAAATTTTTGACGGACCGGGTGGGGGCGAA